TGATGGGCTCGAGTATAGCAGGGATTGTGGGGCTGGTGCGGGATCGGGCAGTGTTTCGTTCTGCTGTGCATGGGGTCGCTATGAGTTGGAAACGACTCGACGGCACTTAACAACAACAACAACATTAGGGCTCCTTCTATTGTCTCAGACAACAACAAAATCCATTGCCCTTGAGTCAACTCCAACTAGTAATGACCCTATTGGATAGAGAAGAACTGCCCCATAGGTTTCCAATGCTATACATTTTTACAGAAGCAGACTGCCACATCTTTCTCCTACAGTGTGGCTAGTGGGTTTGAACTACCAACTTTTCGGTTGGCATCTTAATAGTTAACGAGTGTTGTCTCTACTGACCCTAAAACTGTTGTTTTTCTGTGCTTAGTCTTTTTATGTTCATTCTTTAACCAATAGCTCTTAGCTTTTTTTTTTTTTTTGAGTCACAGATTCTTTTGAAATCTACTAAAAGGTATGGATTCCCCTCTTGACTGAAGACAATAATATGCTTATTCACCAGAATCCATCTGAAATCCATCTGTTGACCATCCTCTTCCATGATCCCTGAAGAATCCTTCCTCTGTACTAGTGCCCTCAGAGTATGATCCACAGACAACAAACAGTATCATCATCCCCTGGGAGATGGTTAGAAATGTAAAATTGTCTACCTTACCCCAGTTCTAAGTCAGAATCTCTGGGGTGAGAGCCCAGGAATCTTATCTTTAACAAGTTCTCCATTCATTCCTAATTTTGATCCCACTATTCTGTACACTTCATGTGAGTAATCTTTGCATGCTCACAGCTGCAAATATACCTCTATTTGGATATCCACATGAGACTCTCTCTCTCTCAACACCAGGCTCATATATCTTAGTAGCTCTAGACTTTGCAATGGCTCTGTTCACGTGCTGTTCAAATATAATATGTTCAAAATATGAATCAAATTCTACCTACAAAATCTATTATTATTCTTGTATGACCTGTCTCAGATTTGTCATCTGTGTATGCCCAGTGCTTTCCACATAGTAGGCCCTTTGTACGTGACTGCTGAAAAGTAAGAAAATTTATGAAAACATGACTTCTGTGCATTGTCCAGGGTATATGATTTCACCTGGTGGACAATGGAGGAAACGCCTCAACTGACCTACCATCTTCCCTACCAGTTCTCTCCTTCTCAAGTAGAAGGGAATCGTTCCTGCGTGTCCCCTCTCCACTCTTTTTCCTCTCATTTTTTCACGTGTTGTTGTTGTTATGTGCCATCGAGTCGGACCCAACTCATAGCGACCCCTCCTTGGTTTTCCGAAGAGGTATCACTACAGATGTAAATCACCCAACCTTCCTTCCAAGGAGTAGCTGGTGGGTTTGAGTCACCAGCCTTCTGGTTAGTAGTCAAGTGCCTTAGGCACTATGCTACCAGAGGTCCCATGTAACTGCTTTAATTAGACTTCAGGCATTTCCTTTCTTATTCCAAAAGCCCTCCCAAACTACGTTCATCTTTTCTTTTTCTTCAAGATTATCCACTTACCTCAGAAAAATCTCCTTGTCTTTTTTTTTTTCCCTATCCCATTTTTAAGTCAAAAAGCAACTATTATTATGATTGATTAGTATAAATAGTGACAGTTACAGCAAGAGAAACATGAATTTTGAAGTGAAATTAGATATGCAGTGGTCCTTCAATATACCCAGAAGTCCCCTTTAGAACTTCATCCTCTTCTAGCTTAACTGTTTTTAAGCATTCTCTTACTAAATTTCATTTTTTTCCTCTCATTTGCTAATATTCCCATGATGGAACTTGAGATTATATATATATATATATATATATATATATATATATATATATATATATATACACATACCTACTGTAACCTGAGGGAGCTCTGGTAGCATAGTGCCTAAGACACTTGACTGCTAACCAGAAGGCTGGTGGTTCAAACCCACCAGCTACTCCTCGGAAGAAAGATGTGGCAATCTACTTCCGTAGTGATACTGCCTCGGAAACCCAAGGAGGGGTCGCTATGAGTCGGGTCTGACTCAATGGTACATAACAACAACAACAACAACTGATAGCTGAGGAGAGAGCTCTGGTGGCTTGATGCCTATGGCATTTGACTGCTAACCAGAAGGCTGGCAGTTCAAACCCACCAGGAAGGAAGGTTAGGCAATCTACTTCCTTAGTGATACCACCTCGGAAACCCAAGGAGGGGGTCACTATGAGTCAGATCCAACTCTACAGCAGTGAGATAGCTAAGGCATGATATTTCTATTATTTTGAGGGCTAGCCTTATAAGAAGTGTTACTTTTCCTAATGCATTTAAAAAATAAGTTATGCCAGAATTTTCTCTCTATGCCATTTTTAGGGGATAAATATAAATTATACATAAACTATGGTATGTTTGTGAGCAAATTCCCCTTCCGTCACAAAGTTCATAGTTTGTTTTATAATTATATAAAACCCACAGTATTTTAGTTTGGAATAACATCTGGAATATGGGGTATAAAACTTTCTTCTCCAGGGCAGGAATTATGGAGGTAAACTTGAATTTAACTGCATCTCTACTAGTGTCTGGCAGAGGTCTCGGTATAAAGGGAACAGGGACACAGAATCAAGCCAGGACAGCTGCTGTGAGCCACATGAAGGAAATAAATTAACAAATGAAAGTAAATTAGGTTGATTTTGTTTATTGGATTTAACATTTAAAGCCTGGAATTAAAAAGAATAATGAAGTTGTGTGCTTCAGTTTTTCCTTATGTAGATAACACCAGGCTTTGCACAATATGCTTAGTAAAATTTGGTGGATTGAATTGTATTTGTCGTGAGATCTATAATATAATACAGTTAAGAATCTAAGTCTGTATTAAAAGTAATTAACTTCTAAAAATTTGAAATTAATCCATCACATCATATGTTGGTAACAGATTTATGTGGATATTTAAATGTCTGTGTATTTTGCTGACCCAAAGTCAGCTTTAGTACTGATAAGTAACAGGCACTCTTCCTGAAATGTTTTTTATATTAGGGTTAGATACATGGAGGAGGTAAGCAAATTTAAAATGTATTCCCTAAATTAAAAGGGTCCTACTTGACTGCTAACCAGAAGGCTGGCGGTTCAAACCCACCAGCCATTCCTCAGAAGGAAGATGGGGCAATCTACTTCCATAGTGATACTGCCTCAGCAACCCAAGGAGGGGTCACTATGAGTCGGGTCCGACTCGACGGCACATAACAACAACAACAACAAATTTAAATGAGGGAGAAAGATGTGGTAGTCTGCTCCCATAAATATTATAGCCTTGGAAACTCTATGGGACAGTTCTATTCAACAGCAGTGAATTTGGTTGGTTGGTTGTTTGCTTATTTAGTTTAAATTGAGCATCTGCTCTGTAGGAAAATTGTTATTGAATGGTTTTGCTAAAGTTCAGTTATGTTGAACAAGAGAATGTCATTCATTATATGTAGTTGCTGCTCTCGAAGCTCTTAATTCAAATCTTTTAATGGATTTTGTGAATCATAAATAGGATGTGACTAATTAGCTTACCTCCTTAACCTTCGCATAAGTCCTTCTTTTTCTTCTGCAGAGTTTGTGAAGGACATACTAACACTTCTCATCTTCTCTTAAATTTCTGTAGGTATCAAACTGGTTTGGAAATAAGCGAATCCGGTACAAGAAGAACATAGGTAAATTTCAAGAGGAAGCCAATATTTATGCTGCCAAAACGGCTGTCACTGCTACCAATGTGTCAGCCCATGGAAGCCAAGCTAATTCACCCTCAACTCCCAACTCAGCTGGTTAGTTTTTTCTTTGATTTGGGGGGATTGTTCTTCATTTTAAATTTACTTTTCATACATTGGGATTTTCTTTCAGTTCTTTGTGTTTTTGATTTATGATTGTTGTCTCTTATTGTTGGTGCCATTTTGGATTTTGGTGTTTGTTTCCAAAGGGTGATGTGTTACTGTGTTTATAAGATTGGATTGTCTGGAGGTCTGCACTGATGTATTCTATCAATTTGAGACCAAACCAAATTGATTGGTATTGATGAAGGGACTTCTAAATTATCCTTTCATAGGTGCTAATAAACAAGCAAGGCCTAACTTAGATGCAGTCCATTGGGGTTCTGTCATTAGGTCTGTCTCATATAAACTTTACATCGTTGTCTTTTTTGCTGTTTCCATCATGTAATGTCTGGGTCTCCAGCTGGCTTATATTCAATCATGTGGGATTTTCACTCTTTTAGCAAATATTTCACTAGAATGTTCTGGTCTGTAAAGCCTGGCTACAAATACATACACATGCATGTGCACATGTGCACACACACAAAATGTTATTATTTTATTTCTTTTACTTGTTGTTGCATTTTGTGTGTGTGTGTATGTAAACTATAAAGAAAATCATTAATCATTAGTTCAGATTATTCAGATTCCTGGTATACTATCAGTCATGTACTATGTTCCAGGTTTTATTTTACGAAATATGCATTATATCACTCATTTCAGAGTTTAGACTAACATAGTATATTTTTGGGTGTGCCTTGGCCATCAATTATGAATTTCTACATGTGAGAAAACATAGTCAATAATCCATACAATATAAACTTAATGCCTGTATGCTATAGGAGGCATGTTGGTACAGGTTTTATTTTATTTATTTATTTTGTTTTTTAACTCAGTAAGGAGATAACAAAAACTATTTCCTTATTAAATAAGCTTGATCTTAAATTATGGTATTTTCTCGATAACAAACACACTGCATTGATTTTGGCTGTGGGTTGCAGGTTAAGATGATTGATGACTCCAACTTTAAGGGGTCACAAATTTAAGTGTTTTAGATCATAATAGGATAAAGAATCTAATTTCTAACATTTCTGAGGGTATATGGTATTTTTCCACCAAAGCTTGTTCGTCTGCTAAGATAAGTTTTCTTTCTACTTATGGTGGCTTTTCATTGGAGACAAGCAGGGTTCCATCCACTAATGTCTTCTGTAAGGTTCTAGATGCATTGATTTGTTACCATAAGGTTGTCCGAGTCAGTAGCCTCTTCCTTCATGGCTATCTTTTGTTTAAATGCAGTCACGCATAAAGAGTGGCCTGGACTTTGTAAATATGGATATGGTAAGACAATGTAGAATTCAATCCAGTTTTATTTTTGTCAGCATTGCAGGTTGGGTCACTATGAGGAACATATTTTTGTGGGGTTTTTATTTGTTTCCTTCTTTACCCTTCATGGTTTATTGACAAAAGATCAAGGTCAATGGGTCCAAATAACAGAGGGTTTCCTTCTTCCCTTTCTGGTCAATTATTAAGCATTTCAGACCCAGCAACACTAGTTGAATTGCCTTGGTAGGCAGACATTTTCACCTGTCCCTGTGGAAGAAGTACAATTCTGTCAACATTAGCAAAAACACAGTCAACACTCCCGCAAAGGTTATCATCATGCAAAACAGATATCAAAATGACTTTTTACTGTCCCTGATATATCTGCATCGCAGATGGTTAGGATGATTTATGACTAGTCCTTAGAAGGGCTCTGTGACTCCCTTCATTACTAAATCCGTAACTTTTTATTCTTTCATAAAACACTTAAAAAAAAGAAAAGTAAGCATTTTAACCCCCTACTCTGTGTTTAAGAATTATGTTGGCTCTTGTGGAATGTCAGTCTGTGATTACAGTTTTCTAAGGAATTTTTCTGGTGGCTTAAACTCCATGTGACTATTCTGAGCACAAAGTAAATTATCATGGAAAATTTGAGCTAAGCCTTCCAGTTGTGCCTAAGTTATTGGAAATAATATGCAGAGAAGCCCTTTGTAGTGATTTTTCTAAAGGAGAGGCAAAAGATAATAGTATTGTATGTGTGCAATAGCTTGGAATTTTAAAAGATAAACATCTTAACAGAAAAAACTATAAATGGGCTGTTCTGTATTTTCTTTTGCTCTTAATATAATCCAACTCATTGCTTAGATAAAGTGAGAACTTAAAAATGTTCAAACTTTTCACATAGGGTGTTTACTCTGCTATGCACTGGCTCTTCATTAATCTCAAAGAATAATGATAATTGCAGTAGCAAGTTTTAAATAAGAGATCAATATCCAAAAATAATTTTTGATTGAGTTTGAAATCTAGAGTTCTAGGACCTGAAACTTTTGTATCCTCAGTACGGAAGCAGGGGTTTTATATAGAAGCTTTACTAAATATAAACACCCAATTCGACTGCAAGGAAGATGTTTTGCAAGTAAATTTTCTCCTTGGAGGATTCTGTGTGAAGAGCAATACTTCAGTACCTTTACCTAGACCATTTCTAAGTATTCCTATTTGTTGATATGTGCCTTGTCTCCCATTACCTCAGACATAATTCAGAAAAGTCAGTTGGGAGTCGGACCTGTGACAGATTAGAAAGCGTTTAGAGACACTTAGTGTGCTTCACGTTTTACATGGGCAAAATGGAGGGAGCAAAAGAAAGAAGGAAAGAGAGAAAACTTAAGTTTTGAGAGAAGAAAGTAAAAATGGAAACCAATTGAAACAATAATTGTAACCCTGTGTGTGTGTGTGTGTGTGTGTGTGTGTGTGTTTGTGTGAAGAGCAACAGCAAGTTCAGTCATGAAAGTTTCTCCTCCAGCACCATTTAGTCAGTGACAAGCTCTTGTACATATTTTTACTTTATCCTTAACAGATTTGGTGTTTTTCTGGGTTGGTGGAAGTGGTCCCTAACTTCCCCCAAAAAAGTTTGCATGTAGTACACAAAAACCAGTTATCAATTGATCGTAACTTGTGGCAACCCTATATGTGTCAAAGTAGAATTGTGCTCCATAGTGTTTTCAGTGGCTGATTTTTCAGAAGCAGTTTGCCAGGCCTCTCTTCTGAGGCACCTTTGGGTGGACTTGAACTGCCAACCTTTTGGTTAGCAGCCAAGAACATTAGCTGTTTGCACCACCACAATTAGAGAGGAAATAAAGAATCCAGAGAAGTTGATCGACACTTATAGTATATGCCCAGGAAACTTTTTAATTGTGTTTTTTAAAACCAAGTAGAAGATTTTATTCCATTGATGTATTTTCACGTTCTGGCTTCCTCTGTTTCTCCCTTTTTTCTAAGTAGAAAATGGAAACAGTCTCCTGAGACTGGAATTCTAGAACCTTAACATGCATACCCCATTAAAGGGGTTTAGATTGAACCAGACAACTGTTCACTCTCTCACTTTGTCCTAGGTAGAAAGTAATGGTTTTGGTACCTCAAAAGGGGGAGAATCTTGGGAAATCAAGCATGAGACATATTTAAGCCTGCGTCTAGCTATAAGCTTTATCCTTGAAGCTTCCAAATTATATGGGAGTCCAAGCTGATCAGGCTGATTATCTTACCTGTCTGGAGTCTCCATGTCTAAACTAGAAAAATTAGCCTAAAGCTTGTCATGCGAATGGTTCATTAAAAGTTTCTGAGTGATACTTTTAAACACTTTGAATCTTTGGAATCTCCGTGGAAGGAGAAAGTAAATCCATACTTGTTCTAGGTCAGTGGTTCTCAACTTGGGATGATTTTTTTCTCCAAGGCAACATCTTGCAATGTCTGGAGACATTTTTGGATTTCACAATTTAGTGTGTTGGGGGTAGGTGTGTGGTGCTACTGGCATCTAGTGGATAGGATCAGGGATGTGACTAAACATTCTCCCACCAGCAAGACATTCTCCCACCACAAAGAATCAGCTAACTGAAAATGTTGATAGTGCCAAGTTGTGAAAGTCTGCTCTGGGTTTGTGTTTTTATCATTATTATTCTGTTTTTGAATTATGAAGTTGATTGATTTTTCCTAAACAAATACAAGTCTTCTGAAGATTCTTTAGAGTAATCTATTCTTTGGGAAAGTGTCTTATGAAGATGGATGTTAACACATTTCACATCATCATGTTTGCCTGAGCAAATGCGTTAGAATCCATAGGTGATCCATTATTGCTTTTCTGTCCAGTTGAGTGCAGATTCAGCTCTGTACATGCCTAGGATGTCTGGGTGGCAGCTTATATGAACCACTTGCCTCACTTCCCAAGTCAAATTCAGAACCTTTTAACTGACAAGCACATCTTAAAATGTGCTTCTAGTAATGGCTTATTACTTTACAACAACCTGCTGGTAAAGTGACTGAATGACTTTCTTGGCCAACCAGGTCATTCTATTTCAGCTCTAAGAGAAGTCCACAGCATTTCCAAATGAGTCCACTCATTATATGACTGTGAATTGTATACTTCCCGGAGGTTATCCATTCTGTTTTAGGTTCTTTCCCACTTCCAGTACTAGGTGGACTTCCCCTTGTTATTTAAATTTTTGTGAGGACTTCTGTCTGCTTTATTGTGGTATTAGTGTAGTGGTAGTCTGGTCCCTCAGAGCAGTCACTGCCTCTAGATACTTATCAGAGAGTCAGGAGCCATGATGGTGTTGTACATGGGGGTACAGAGATTATAAAATGCTGAAGCAGCACAGCCAAGAGCACAAGGAACTATTCCTGCAATTACTGCTCTGATACAAATGCATTTGTACATGAAGTACATTTATATGCGCATATTTATCTCTGTGTACATTAAGCAGCCAGACATATTTACAATTTATCTATGCACATATATTTTTTTAAAATCATCTGTGTCAATTGAAGTGTATATCTTGTAAATGGCACATCCCTTGCCCTCATGGTTTCATGGATGCCATGTTACTTGGCATCAGTGTAGGCCTTTGGGGTTTTTTCCCATTTCACAGTTTGTGTGCTATTTCCAATAAACTATCAGCCAAGCATTCAGTGTGTGTGTTTATTACATAGTATTTGATCGGGAGACACACAAAAAATACCTGGGCTTCAAAGTGAGCATTTTTGTGGGGAGAGGGAAATGGTAACATATAAACAATTATGATTTGGGTGCTTGGAGGTGACTAGGTTCTGTTAACATCTAAATATGACTGTGCATTTTATTTTATTTTAGGATTTATTACAAAATGTTTTTTTTTTGTTGTTGTTTTTTTTTTTATTTAGGTTATGTCCCATTGACTTAAAAAAACAAGATTTGCTGTAACTAGTGCATAATGGCCTGGATGTTGAATATCTTAACATGACAATGTGCTCAGTGCTGCACAGCTCATCCCTATGTTGGGGAAACAACTTTCAAATACTTGCACCACTAACTGGGTATAAGCCACACCTGGTCAAGTAATGTGTCTGTTTTGTGAAGACCCAACTTTTGTCATTCCTTTTAGATATGCTAAACTGAGACATGTGTACCAGATGAGAAAGGACATGCTGTGGAACAATGGGAGATGTCATGCAGTTCTGTGGTTGAAGCTTATGTCTCCCTACCTTCCAGAAAAAGCATTTCCTTTTTTTCCTTTTCCCCCTGTGTAAGAGAAGCAGAAAGGGAGTTAGAGTGAAAGATCAGTCCACATAGCAGAATTATGAATTCTTCCTTTGCATGTGGATGAACATCCCCAAAGAAGAAAGAGAAATGGAGATACATCTTAATTTAGGATGGTCCCCCAAGTTTGTATATCATCTAGTTCCTCTAACTGGTTATTGCCTTTGAAGTAGGAGGATCCTATGGACAGATAACCATAGAACAGAATGGTAGAGTTTAGCATTTGTTTCTAGTTAAGTGATCCTTCTGTGGGGAAAAAGCAAAACAAAAGAAACCTTCTCTTTTGCTTAGCTGCAGCTCTTCATGTGGAGCAGGACAGCTCTCTAGGAGAGCTCAAATCCTCATCTTGGGAGAAAAGAAAGAAAGTGTCAGAGCTGAGGCATGAATCACTGTTGGGCGATTCCACACAGATGATGGCTGTCAGAATATGAGGGCAAGAAAGCAATTTGAGCAATATAGGGTTGGAAATCATAGAGTGGAACTGACCTGGGTCCCTAAGGTCTCTCCTTTCCAGGCTAACGTCACGTTTTAACCAAACCTTGCACGTTGAGCTTTCTTTCCTAATGCACTGAGCTGCACGATGACTTCAGAATATCGAACTTTTCTACCACCATGTGTTTAGTTGAAGGTGGGCTGGGTTTAACACAGTAGAACTAGGGCATGGTGCCAAGATAGACCTAAAGGTTAGTTATGGCTCCTTCTCTGGGAGATGAAAGCAGGTAGTTAACTGCCTTCTTGAGGCCCACTTATTACTATTATTATTACCAGCATTTCATATTTCATACATGCATGCAAACCCCTGGGCCATTATTCTGTTTCATCTTCCTCCATGGTGCAGGGTGGCAAGGAAGGGTAGATGATCTCATATATTCTTACAGTTTGCAAGGCTCTTCTGGGACCCCACCTTCTTGCTAGAAATCAGGAATGTTAATGGACTCATATTACAGGACCAACCCTAATATGTGGCAGTATCTTCTTGCACTCCCCTTGTAGGTGTTGCTCCTAACATAAGGCTAGTAGACAAGTTTGGCAGTAACATACATAGAATCCAGCTAAATGACTCATAAACTCCACTCTGCTGGCAGGAGCCTCTGTGACCAGCCCGTATTCCTCAGCTTCTGGTCCCCTGGCCAGCCCTAGAATTTTGGAGGCATGAAAGATAGATCCTTGGTCTGGAGACTGTCTCCATTCCAACAGACTATGTTAAGAAGAATAAATGTTTCCTTTCTCAGCTTGAAGTTGCTAAGGGAAAGCAATCCTATTGGCAATATGTTAGTGAGGGTGTGGCTTCACATAACATGAGCAATATGCATCCTTTATTGCTTGCTCTGTTCTTCATGCTACTAACCAGACTCTGTTGATGTTTTCATTTTTGTTTTTATTTGGGGGTTGCTTTGCATGTCATTCCTCCTCTTGGCTGTTAGTTGCGGGGGTTGAGCCTTTTCCTTTCTGTGATTCAGGTGCCTCACTCTTTCCTTTCCAGGTTCTTCCAGTTCTTTTAACATGTCAAACTCTGGAGATTTGTTCATGAGCGTGCAGTCACTCAATGGGGATTCTTACCAAGGGGCCCAGGTTGGAGCCAACGTGCAATCACAGGTAGGGACCCAGCCAATGTGCCGCCAGGTGAATGCATTAGAGTCCAAGAGCCCTCAATCCTATTGGCACTTCCTGCTCCTGTCTAGAAAGAGAGAGAAGAAAAAAAAAACAGAAACAAAACCTTACCAACAACCAAAAACAAAACAAAACAAAGACAACCATTGTCGTGGGGAATCTCGTCCACACTTTGTGAATGCATTTGGCTCTGGCTTGTCAGTCACACTAGGAAGGCAGGAGAGGAGCAGCAAGGACAGGTGAGGTGATCAAGGTATATCAGGCAAGTAGAACCAGCATGCTCTTTGTTCACTGAAGGGAAAGGAAAGAGTTCAGTCCATTGTATCACTTTCTAGGTCTCCTTCTTGTTGGTTGGTTTCCTACACTCATATTTGCCAAATAAAGAGGTAATGAATGAGTAGGCAAATATTAAATAAATTGTGCTTTTATTTTAAGCTTTAAAATACCCAGCCAAGTTGACTAAACTCATCTTTTCAGTCATCCTTGGGGTCAAGGGACTTGGGTTTCTTTTGATGAGTGTAAGTCCATATGGAGAAGGAAACACTCAAGTAATGTGGTATGAAACCTCAGTACTGTTCATTAAGCAGATTCCCTCCACTACACCTCAGAAGGCCATCCTACTGTCTCAGCATGAAGTGTGATGGAAGATGGCAAAGTAGAATCCTCTGTGTCAGAATGATTAGGAAAATTCTAAGCAATGTCAATCCAATTTCCCACCCTGCATGTGGAACAGCAGGTATTACCTGCTTGGAGCAGACCCACTGGCCAGTGATTCAGCCAGCCCCTTGCTTGGGAAACTTTGCCTGAAAATAAGTTTGAGATGACGTGGACGGACTTTGGTCAAGTGACTACACAGCTGGCCTTCGTTTAAGTCCTCCAAAAAATGATGTCTTTACTCATACACCTTTCCCTCTGAAAGATGGCTGTCCAAGCCTCTTCTAAACAGAACTTTGACTTTTATAGGATACCTACCAAAGAAGAAGCCCTATAGGATGATCCATAGGGGAAAAAAAAAAACAGGGAGAAGGGGAAATTCCTTCACTCCCTCCCCTCAAACCCCCTCTACTCACCCCAGTCCCTGCTGGCACCTGCACTACTCTAGAATTAGTTTCATTGTTGGGAATCCCAGCTTTCTTTTACCATCTTACCATGTTGCTTACTGAACTCAGTAAATTCATGGATTTGGCATGTAGAAAGGGCTCAACCTCTTCCTAATGGACCTTTCCCCAGAAGGAGCTTCTCCAAAATGATTATATTAACTTGATGTGCCCAAACCATAGCCTGTATGATGATGACCTGCCTCCCTTCCCTGCATCTTCGTGACTAATTTCTTCTCTGTTGTTCATCTGTTTAGGTGGATACCCTTCGCCATGTTATCAGCCAGACAGGAGGATACAGTGACGGACTCGCAGCCAGTCAGATGTACAGTCCGCAGGGCATCAGTGTAAGAAAACAAGGCTCCCCCCACTTTTGTTTTTATTCTATCACTACCAATTATTTTAAAGCCATAGGGCTTGGAATGCCACTTAGTAGGACTTGCCTTAGCTTTTTGGTCACCTAGTTTCTTGTGTCTGTATCGGTCATGCCATCGGCAGCATTCTACCCACAAAAAAACGTGGCGATTGGGCAGGCTTCATGCAGGCAGCTGGCGTCTAGGGCTGTCAGACACAATCAGTGTTTGCAAGGCACCTGCGGCCACATGCACTCAGCTGAGAGGAGCTGCTAAACAGGTGACACCTAGTACAACAGTGGTAGGAAATGTCATCACAGGCTTGGGCCCAGGAACCTGGGAAGGAAAACCAGTGGCCAAAATCCATTGCATCCAGGTCTGTAGTCCTTAAAAAAAAAATAAAATAAAAATAAAACAACCTTTCTCCAATCTGTCAATGGACAAGAACAAAAAAATGAGCTCAGATGCTGAGTATGTTGAAGGGATGGGGAGGGGTGCGGACCATCTTCTACTTGTTCTTGGGTGCACTGGCGGCTCCTGACTAGCATGAAAATTCATAGCGACAAGCTATGTCGCACAGAGTGAAATCGATCAGACAGACACAAGGGGAACTGAGTGTAGATTTGGGACAGCAATCCAACTTGATTTCTCAGATCAATCGTCTGCTATCTCAGCAGTGGTGACAGCAAGCGGGGACAAGAGGGCAGCATGGAAAAGGAGGCTGTTCTTTAGATTGGGGGTGATTTTTCTGGGATTTTAGAGGTCACCAGAGGCTCCAGCAGAACTATTGGCTCAGAACTATTGAGGGAAGCCATGGTTGATTGGTGGTGATGTATATTTTTTTTTCTGTTTGTGTCTGTTAGGATTAAAGTAAACTGGGGAGGGAAGGAAGCAAAGGTAGGTGTGATTTATTAATATACTGTAATCTTAGTCTGTATTATTTGAAGTATAGTGTCTGCAATGAAAGAGTTGATGACCCCTTCAACTTTTGCATTGGTCAGATAATACATGATCATGGCCAGGCTAGAAGGCATCAAGAGAAGACTGCTCTATGAGGAATGGTTGAAAGAATTAGGAATTCTTAGTCAATGGAAGAGAAGATTTGAGTGGTACATGTTAGTTTTAGATGTGCTGGCTGTCATCTGTGAGGCACATTAGATCCATCATGAAGGCTCTGAAGGAAGTAGGATAGGATCACTGAGAAGGAGACTCAGAGGAACAGATTTCACTTCAACTTTAATGAGCCTTTCTCCCAGTCCCTGTCATTGGAGAAGTTCAACCATAATTTGGCTAACTGTTTGGTAAGACTATTTAGAGGGTGTTTTGGGAGCTCTGGTAGCATAGTGCCTAAGGCATTTGACTGCTAACCAGAAGGCTGGTGGTTCAAACCCACCAGCCACTCCTCGGGAGGAAAGTTGGGCAATCTACTTCTGTAGTGATACCGCCTTGGAAACCCAAGGAGTGGTCGCTATGAGTCAAATCCAACTCAACAGCAGTGAGTTTATTTTGAGTTTGGGTCAGGCACAGGTTGTGACGGGTCTTGGTGATGTTTAAGACCTCTTCCCTTCATAAATTCTTTATTTTATACCATCTTCAGATAGATTCCCCTTTGAATTTGAATGATATTCATCAAGAGTTTCTCTCAGAGAAAAGCAGGACCGTCCAAGTTAACCTGTTAAACATGCTCTAGCCAATCATGCCACTTGCTAGGGAGGATTTCCAGAGAAAGATTCTACTATCTTGCACTGCTAATGCTAAGTATTATTACTGTCTTAATAATAGTCATTGTTATCACTGTTATTAATTACTAATATATATAGTATTACTATTATTATTACTACTAGTATTAATACTAATGAACTGATTCACCTGAGCCTGCATTTATAGAAATACAAGATATTGGAGAAATACTTGGCTCAAAAATGATTTCCAAAAGAATTAAATTACTCTGTATTTGTGTATATGTGCTCAAGGATGTACACGTTTTTGCATTTCTGGAATTTTTTTTTTATGTGTAGGATACACGAAAGATTTGGTCTTACATAAGTGGAAGAGGAGAGCATGAGGAAGGTCCCTAGTGTAGGGACAACTGTATAGACTTTCTCAAACAAGAGGCCTGAAAAAAGTCCATGTGACTGGGCAGGAAATGGGGCTTCCAAGTTCTGCTATTTGGCACCTCTCTTTCTCATCGGGCAGCCCAAAAGAGAGCAACACTGAGGCTCTGGGGGGGTCAGCACTGACCCCTTTGACATCATCTGGTGGGCTGGGAATCATTTCTGGAATAGTGTAACCAAACATATGCAGACAATTATGTCTGATTGCATAAGCCCACCACAAACACTGGGCTTGAGAATGGCACTTGAAAGAGTCTATCATTTTGCATTATTTTTTTTTTCCTCTGTGAACTGTAGTTATTTCATTTCTGAGTCTTTAATATGCAGGGTAAATGAATCAAAGGCTGATCATGATGTGAGATGTTTGGTATCAGTTTTAAATTGTGCCACCTGCAGGAGGCTAAGCTTGCTATAGGGAGATGTGTTTTTAGATGGTGGCATTAGACAGGGAGACGTGTGTGTGTGCGCGCGCAGAGTAGGGCTGTGACTGCCAGGAGAAGAACGAGAGAAGAGGAGAGGAGACAAGAAGAGACAGGACAGGAATGAAAGGTTCGAGCCAAGAAGTAAAAATAAACAATTTGTGAACCCAAAGCAGCAATGGAATTCCCATCTGGGCTCTGGATTGTGTTTCCTTCTGTGGAGGACATTTTCTGGGCAGCTTTTACCCACTCCTCTGGCACGGTTTTCATGGCCCCCATATCTTATCCAACCCACATCTGTTTTAAATCCTCTAAAGTTCAGACCAAGGAATCCTAGTGGTGCAATAGTCCAGCACTCAACTGCTAACCAGAAAGTTAGTGGTTTGAATCCAGCCAACAACTCTATGGGAGAAAGACCTGGTGATCTGCTCCTGTAAAGATTATAGCCTGGACAACCCTATGGGGCAGTTCTATACTCTGTCATGGGGGTCAGGGGTGGTGGTGGTGATGAGTCGAAAATTGACTCAACTGCACCTAACAATAATAACAAAGCTCAGACCACTTGCCTTTAAAAGACGACTGCATAGTAATGTGGTTGTAAGGTATAGTGGTAAGAGTCCTGCAACTGGAATTGGAAGAATGTCACTGATAACTTTGGGTGGGGCTGTAGCCAAGCATCTAAGCGCTGTTCTGTAAAATGGGGCCAGTAATTCATACCTTTAATACCTCAAGGGCTGTTTCAGGGAAAATGAGAAAATAAGTAGGAAAGGACTTGACAAAGCATAAATTGTTCTGCATGAATGCAGTATGAAATATTATAAGTGATAACTTTCTAATTTGACCTTTTCCCCCACTTGTGTGAGCAGTTTTCACAGTAGGTAGTTCCTCATGAGGACAGGTTCAGACACAGTTGTCACTTTTTTTCTCTTCTGATGGAAAGGTATGCTTTTGAGATGGATATAGAGTTATGCAAGGCTGAAAGACTCCCTTCCTTAGCCACTGTCAGAGTTAAATTATACCTCTTTAAGTACTTTGTGTTCTCAAATGACAATGGGCAATACTTACCAGGCCTAGAGTGGCTCTAAGTACTGGAGGGAGATTATTTCACTTCTCTGTCAATCAGGCAGACTTAAAGATCACTTAGCTATCACATCCATTCTTTCCATTCCCACAGCCACCATCCTAGTTCTAGAAATAATTCGTTAGCTAGGCTCTTGCAGTAACCTCCTAATTGCTGTTACTGCTTTGACTTTCTTCTTTCACCTTCACACATCTCCTGGATTATGAAGACATTCCATGTTGAGAAATCACCAGTGGCTCCCCATTGCCTGCCAAAGCAAGATCAAACCCTGAGTCTGGCATCCAGGGCCCTTCCCACTCTTACTCCAACCTCCCTGTCCTTCCAGCTTCATCCTCCATCACCAAAGTAAACTCTGGACATCCTTACCTGGCTGTGCACTTACCCCTTATAGTTGCTCATCTGTTCCATCTACATAAATGTCCTTTCATCCCTATACCACCTTCTCATCTCACCAAACAATGAAAATTATACTTTTTCTTCCATGTGCTGCTCTTCTCGCTGTCTTTCTTCTTCCCCTCTCTTTTCTTCTTGATGTATATCTTCTTGATGGACAGAGAACATATCTCTATTACTTGGTCTGTGTATCTTTCATTCACAAATGTGTGTATGACCCTAAAATGTGTATATGACCCTTAAAAGTGAGGGTGGAGAGACTTTGTCCCTTATACTTTGGTCATATTATCAGGAGGGAACAGTCCCTGAAGAAGTGCTTTGTAGGGTGAGTGAAAAAGAGGAAGACCTTCAGTGAAATGGACTGGCACAGCGGCTGCAACAATGGGCTCAAACATAGCAATGATTGTGAGGATGATGTAAGACCAGTGTCTCGTTCTATTGTACATAGGATCACTATGCATCAGAACCAAGTTCACAGTACCTAATAACAATAGCAACCGCTCAAAATATGTGGGTTGCATGAGTAAATCAGGCAGGAGAAGACAAGATGCCATTGAACATTTAATGACCTATATAGCCTTGTCTTATTTTTTCTACCAGCCATAAAATATCTAGTCTAAGTTTGTATTTTAAATGTTTTATGAATCCACAAATATACTGCCTTTTTAATCCAAAGGGGCTCTTAAATCTTCTTTTTTGGAAGGAGTTTTCTAAATATTTTGGTCAGTGCAGATTGTCTGATACTATTAGAATCAGCAGTAAATATGTTAAGTCAAGTTGTAATGATAATGCTATTATCCTTTTGTTTCCCTTAATTGTTCCTATTCTAAGTCAGTCATCTAGCAATATAACACTGTTTCTATTAAGATTCTCTCTGGCCTCTCTAATCATTTTAGGACTAGAACCTACACAGACAACCTGGTAGGAGGTAGAAGCATCCTGAAATCAGGAAATTTGGATTCTTCTCCTCTCATGGCTTTTCTTTTG